AAGTAGAAATGTACATGTATGTAGATCTGGATGCTTGAACTCTGCCAAAACAAGGCAATTCAAAAAAACTTACATTTCAGCAGCTAGTCCATTTCAAACAGCAAAGCTTCAAATTGCAATTCTATTGAAAAAAATTACAAAACAAAAACATAAGCACAAATCTAACACTCTGACCACTCATCATTTATGTTTAGTCACTAGTTAAGGTAATCTAAAATTCAATCTAAATTTAATTAAAACAATAACATTCTAGTTTATGTACTAGCAGGATGATAAATGTACATGTAAGTGTCAGAGAGATACATAATGACATTTGTTTAAATTCATTTGCATAGCAGATTATAAGCAATCTTTGTCAATATTAATTTTCAAAACAGAGCAAAAATGATGTAAAAAATTTAGCAACACAAAATGTCATGATTTAACTTTTTAGTTAGTTTTAGTTCGTTCAGGTCTTTATAAAGTTTGGAACTGGTTTAGGCCAAATTTTTGGACAACTTCAAGAATTAAATCTAGTGTTGATTGGGATAAGCTCAAACTTTCTACACAATTAAGAACATGTACATGTATTATATGTATCAGAAAAATGCAGAATTCTCTCATTTTCAATTTTGACAAAATTGAAAAGGGGAGTATTAATTTTGGCCAGATTTTGGAGTAATTAAATTTTTTTTAAAATCCAGCTTTGATATGAATTAGCCCAAACTTTCTATGTACATGTATATGTATCAGAAAAAAATTATTAAAATGGGAAATTTCTCCTTTTCAATTTGGGCAAAATTTGGCCCGAAACCATGTACTACCGTGTACCTCTAAATTTTTTGTCACTTAAAAATTTTCATTAAATTCGTCAGGTATTTTGTTTGATGAAAATTTCAACCATCAAAATTTTTATTCCACGTGGGTAGTATGCAGATTAATAACAAAAATGAGAAAAATTTTATTGACAAAAATTAATTTTAACAAGAAATTAAGATTTTGACAAAATTTTTGACTGACGAAAATTTGGAGCTGTACGGTATAATATAAAAATCTAGTGCTGCATGTAAAGAGAAAGAGACAGAAAAATAGTGGGAGAGAGAAAGAGAGGGTAGAAGAGAGAGACCTCACCATGTCTATGTACTGTATCTCACAACTCTCCTCATAGGATAAGGATAATCTGATGTTTTCACTTTATCAATGATTCAGGCACAGCCCTGCAGTGTTTTCTTGAGTTGGTGTAGGAGCCATTTTTAAGTCGGAGGAAAGAACTCTTGAAACCGATTGAGCTCAACTAAAAACTCTCCACAGACACTCAATATGAACTGTGATGACGACTCTATGTAAGCACTCACGTCAAAATCATCAGTTCCTTGCAGTCGAACACTTGCTTTGGTAACGTCATAATCAAGATACCCGTCAGTGTAATTGAGTATGGACATCAACGGCTTACGTAGTACCTGAAACAGGAAGCCTAGGAAGGACTTAAGCCCAGGGAGTTGCTGACAGTACTCGGACACGACCCGACTGCAGACCGGCTCTATGCTAAACATCTCCTTTATGGAAGAGCACTGCTTGATATGGTGCATCAATAAATGGCATATCATATTCAATAACTGAGCATGGTCCTCCGGAAATACGCAATGACCATAAACGACTGATACAAGGTCGTACGTCAAATGGGCGGAGTCGAGTCCTTCTTGTCCAGCCCATTTGAGGACCTCGGCTACGGCCTCAGGGTGGGAACGAAGGTTTCCAAGGAATCGATTGTAGCTCTCGAGGAGGTTAGGGGAGGAGATACGCTGTGAGGCATTAAGGAATGTAATGGAGTCTGCTTCTCTACTAGTGGCCATCCAGTCGGCAGGAGGGGAGCGGTGACTGAGGACTTTAGTGAGTGAGTAGCTGAGAGCGTGTTCTATCCAAAGTGACTCCAGCAACTGGTCGCAGGAGATGTTCAACTGGTTGTACTGCCGTCGGGTCGACTGCCATCTCTCTGAGATGACCTCTTGGTCTTGTCGGAGCTCCCGTATGACGGGCCACCAGGAGTAGGACGAGGAGGAGGGAGAGAGAGGGTTGGAGCAGCTTTTGGTAGTGTCCGTCATTTTCTGAAGTCTAACTAGCCCCACCCATCTAAGCCCCGCCCCTCATTATTAAGCAAACTTAGCAAAGCATGGAGGATGGAGAATTACAAGTTTCAGAGGAAGAGAGAGGAGAAGAGAAGGAAGAAAGTGCCCCCAAGAGACTTAAGCTAGACGAAGAGAATGGAGACGGTAAGACTCAAGAGGAGGAAGGGGAAGGAGGAGAATGGATGACGGTAGTCAGAGGACCGAAACCGAAAATAATATCAGAACTCGAAGACGACTCTTTAACTAGGAAAAGAAAGAGGAATCGAATGAAATCGTACAACGATGACATCCTTGGTGAAGCCACACCTCCCCTGACCTCAAGCGATCAACCAAAGAAGTACCTGACCCTTCATCAGGCTCAGTTATTGAATTTGTTGACAAAGCCACATGAAGTGGGAGGGGCTAGCGAGGCAGAGTACAAGACAGCCGACCTGCAGGCGGTCCTGTTGCATCTGTTACTGGGGCACCCTGAAGTTAGACGTAAAAAGAAGGCAATAGTTCATGCAGCTTCTCTGCTCACTCAAGACAACACTGTCAAAAAGAAAGTGATAGTTGTGTGGCTTTCCAACTTCTCAAGGTACGACTGTGTTAGTAACAGTGAAAGTTTCGCACAATTAAAGTCACTACCTTTTCCGCAAACCTACTTTGATCTCAAGAATC